CTTTAAATGGTATCTCTTGACTTTGAACAGAATGTTCCTTTTTTCAAATGAGTAATTCATCATGTAACTGCCAGTAACATTAAAATCTTCTTTCTTAAAAGCCCTGAGACATGGATTTGGGAAATACATTTAAAATCAACATGATTAATTATTATTTGATTCTTGCCAAAGCCTCTTGATTTCACCACTTTCTAGAAGGTGAAATAGATGCTATACTTTGAGGTTTCTGCCTTCCAAGAACTCTAAATGTTCAATTCATTATGACGAAGGACCATGAATTACCCAGACTATTGGTTCTGGACATGGAAAATCTCAATTTAGCCATGAAGCTCGCTAAAACATGTCAGCAACTGAATCAATGCCTATTCCAGTCTACTGAAGCTAAAGTTCTCAGAGGAAATTACCATGGAGGTTTCAAACACTGCAATCTTCATTTATGTCTGTTCTTTTTCTTTGCCAAGCTTATTGGATTGGATAGGTAAATTGGAAAAATCAGAATTTTAATAGATATCTTCATATCCTGTGTTCTATGCATGGGCACAGTAATTATTTCACATGTTGTCCAACAAAAAATTAGGTATAAATAGATATATTGTATTTACAATTACATTAACATCCATGCAATTTTGCATTGTAACCACTTTTTACTTTAAATTGTGTTTAACAAATAGTCTCAACAGCAACTTGTTGAAGGATGCTTTTCCACTTCACACAGGCAGGCCTGGTGTCAGGGGTTGATAAAGCTGAGCAGCTGTTGAGAATTCATCATCTCAGAAGGGCACATCCCTGCTGATCCTAAGACTTCCCACCCTGAGACTCATCCCTTGGAAAGCTGCATCAGCAGAAAGAAGGGCCCAGCCTGTCTCTCCAGAGTCCGCCAGACTCAGACTTCTGGTTCTAATGGGGTCCTTTCTTAGAGCCACATATTGTGGGGACTGAAGAGGTGACAGGAGGCAGGCAGAAGGCAAATAGAGGGAAGGAACTGAGCAGAGGTAGGGAGGTGAGTGGAGGGGGCAGGCAGTGAAAGCTGGGAAGCATTGTGGGAACCCTTTGCAGCACCATGCCCAAGGGCACACAGGTGCTGGGCATGGACTTGCCATGCTGCCCTCAACATCAGAAGAAGGGAGTCCAGCTTTGGATTTCATACTGTAAAACAGTGAGACCTCAGCACAGTTTTTTTCCAGCATATAAAAACAGTTAAGTTACTTAGTGTATTAAATTAAACCAATGTGGTTACTGATGCAGATGAAAGTGCATATAAGTGTTATTAGAAGAAAGACATGAAAGCACCCACAAGCTTATAGTTCAAAATTATTCTTTCAATAAGGTTTGCATCTTAATCCCTACTCCAGTGAGAACTGAGTCATATCTGTACCTCAGTTTTCCCTCCTCTTTGTACAAAGGGATTTTATAATATTTACTTAGATATCTCTCTGGGGAATTGTAAGAATAAATAAACAGACCAATGTTAGTTGGGTATTTGAATAAGTGAAGCACTATATAAATAACTAGCAATACAGAATTGAATTATCTATCAATCTACACTTCTAGGCTGCTATCCAGGAAAACTCTTGAGCATATTTGGAAGCAGAAGGGTGGGGAAAACACTTCTGATGCTATCAAAATGTATTTATTCTCTCTCTCTCTCTCTCTCTCTCACACACACACACACACTCACACACACACACACACAGAGAGAGAGAGAGAGAGGGAGAGAGAGAGAGAGAGAAATGGGAGGTTTATACATTTGTGAAGAGAGACTGTGATGAGGGGAAGCAAAACAATGGACTTCATACTGTATTTTATTTAGTAAAGTTCTATCTTCTAGAATCATTGACTTGGAGGAGACCTCAGAGTTCATCTAGTCCTCCAGCACACCTTTCCCACCCAGTTAATAAGAGGGTTTTTTTTAACAGAATCAAATCTTGGTCATACACTGTGTAATTCTCCTTCTATGATTGCTTACAGGAGGCTTCCATTACTTTTTTCCCATTATTGAAATTAAAATGTATATCCTGACCTTCTAGCAGAGCAATAGCAGTTTAAAGTGGCTTCCAAAGAGTGCAACCTCATTAGAACTCTTTAACAATAGTAGTCCTAGGCAAGCATTTGCCTGAACATGTGCAGAGCTGAAGTGGATATACACGAACTTGGGTGTATGTGTAAGCTCTGCTCCCAGTGTCCTTGCTGCTGGTTAGGTCTGCAATGAGCTCTGAAGCAGGTTCAGGCAAATGTGTTCGCAGTGTTCCCACAGTCAGAAACATGGATAAGGCAAGCTTTCTAACTGCAGGAGCTCTGCAAATGCATTCAGCTGAACACAGGTATAGAGCCCTTTCCAGACATTTACTCTTAATGTGTGGAGTTCTTCATGGCAGCTTGGTGGCCAGGAATGGTAGGGGAGGGGCTTTGACAGGTCCCTTCATCTTCCTCCCCAGTTTCACTGCAAATGTTAGTACAAATATATATATATGGCTTAATCTAACAGCGGAACCTGCCCTTCAGGCTGCTGTGATTATGCAATGATGTGTCTAGATCCTAGTACAAGAGTGGGCAACTTGTGGCTCTCCAGATGCTATCATCTGTTACTTCCATCTGCCCTAGCTACATAGTTAATGGTGAGGAATGATGGGGAATGTAGGCCAGAGTATCTGGACAGCCACAAACTGCCAACCCCTGCACTAAATTATATAACCCGCATCTCAATTCAATCTCCACCAGGTCATAACACCACAGACAGTCCTGGGCAATCCAGCAGCTGAGGGATATCACCTCTTGGATGAACTGCACTTCTGTTACTTGGTTTATGCACTGTTGTGTGGCAAATATGCCTGGCTGGTTCAAGGACTTAGCCCTAGGTTCAGATGCTTAGCTATTGCTTTTACTCTTCCTCTGATTATCTGTTGTACAATGGGAATAATTCATCTTACAGGGATATTTTGAGGATGAATGAGGCAAATCAGTTGCCTCCAATTATTGTGTGGTAGTACAGACAAGCAGTGAAGCTGCTGCTGTGCTGCCTCTATTGTGTACTTGAGTGGCCATACACTGGAGCTCTTTTGGGTGGTCTGCAGTCTTGGTCCCCTATAAGATCCACTGTGACATTTTTGCATTGCACTTTGAAGGAAAAAATCATTTGTCTCCTCAATCACTTAGATGCCACCATCTGTCTAATTATGTAGCATTAGTTTTTGGTTCTGTGGCCTGATGTTGTGGATGAGGTACTTGCAGAAATTCAACTGATCTTGTGCTGCCTAATCCTTGCCCTCCTAGCTAATGAAACCTGGATGAGAGGGTATGGCTGTGCAGGTCCACAGAGTGTTAAATCTCTGCATGAAGGAATGGTTCTGGCTGTTCTTGGTATAATCTCTCCTGAAGCAACTTACTCTGAACTTGGTAGTACATAACAAGTTCCACCTTGTCACAAGCACTTTTCCTTCGAGAACAAACTTGAGAGGGTTCTCTCTTGAAGGATACTGACTATCTAGAACCCTTCCAGTCAGGGTTTTGACTTTGCCATGGAACTGAATCAGCCTTGTTTGCCCCTTCTTAGGAGAGGGATGGGGGAGCACAACCCTCTAATTATGCTTGATTCATCATCAGCCTTCAATACCATTGACCATAATATACTCAATACCATAGTATATATAGTATACTCCTGCATGAATTCTGTGGGCTGAACAATGGAGGAATTAACAATGGTTCCACTCTTAGTCTCACTAGAGAAGACCCTGATTCTGGGAACAATTGACAGCAAAAGGAGAAAGGGACAGCAGAGGTTGAGGTGGCTAGATGGAGTCACTGGGAGGGTGGTTGTGGGCTTGGGTGGACTCCGAGGGATGGTGGAGGACACGAGAGACTGTCCATGGGGTCATGGTGGGTCAGGCACAACTTTGTGACTAAACAACAGCAGATGAAGTCCAATAAACTGAAGCTTAACTTTGGAGTGATGAAAGCTCTGGGTGGTTCGCAGGTCCAGAAGATAGACTCATTGAGGTTGCACTCACTTTGAAAGAATGGATACCTCTAGATCTGTCATTATTGTTGGAGGCCCAAGTGACTACAACAGCTTGGAGTGCCTCTTACCAGCTTCAGCTGTTCACCATCTATAGCCTGTCCTGCACAGAGATAACTTGGTCACAGTGGTGCAGGCACTAGTAAACTCACAACTGAATAATTGCAAACTGCTTGATGTGGGAATGCCCATGAGGGTGATTGGGAAGCTGAGACTAGTGCAGAATGCAGCAGAATGGTTGTTGTTAGGAAGTGTTTCAAGTTAAAGATGTTTTAACTTGGAGTCCTGCATTGAGCAAGGGTTGGACCTAGTGGCTGTATGGACCCCTTCTGACTCTACCATTCTATGATTCTTTGTTCATACAACTTCTTTGCTGAGGGAATGATATTGGCTACTTATTAACTGCAAGACCAGGTTAACCTTTTACCAAAGTTTAAAATTTTGGTACAGGCACATAAACCCCTTAAGAACTAGGAAACAGGAGAGCGTGTCTTTTCCCTCACCAATCTGCCTGAATAGTGATGCCACTGAATGTCATGCTCCTGGTGGTTCCACATGGACGTGTGCCCCAGTTATAGTCCACCCTGAGAAGAACCTATAGCATAGTACTGTACATAGTATAGTTCCATATTTCTGGAACTCCCAACCTCTGGTTGTCAGTCTGGTATTAACATTGTATTATTTTTGGCACCTCCTGGCAACACTTTTTATTTCAAGAACCTTTCCTGAACTAACTAACCACAGCTGTATTGCTTCTTGTTTTTAACATATTTTACCATTTCATTCTTTTATCTGTTTTATCTTTACTGTTTTCCATTTTAACATGCCCATACTGGAATAAAGTGTAAAATATAAGTCTTGCAAAGAAAGAATGAAAGAAAGAATATTGGCATCTTGAGAACATTTCCACCGTGAGGAAAATACATGATACAAACTCATCCCAATCCCAATTTTTCTTTAATTCTGTCATTCTTAATTTTCCTAACAGATGACAACAAAGACATGCTTGAAAAAGCAACGGGACTGAAAATTCTCCTGACTGGAATGGTGGAGGTAGGTGACTACTGTACATCTTATTATCTAAAACCTTTGATTTATTCTTTTGTGAAATCCTAGATCTGGATGTTTGTAGGTTAACTGTGTTAATTATCTAAGGGCTTTTACAAATTCTGATTATTAGACTGTTGCATCTGTCATAATATAATCTCAGCTTCCACCAACCATGTGAGTAAGGCTTTGTGGCCTTTAAGAAATATACTCTTAGTTTTGTCATATGTCAGGAACAAACACCCTTAAAATGAACAAAGCAGTTGATGTGTCTGATTATTCTCACCTGGTTTCACTGAAGCTGTGTTTCATCTCAAAATCCACAGAGATCTAAATTTAGAGTAACTTGTCCCTTGATGTGTGGGTGAGCTTTTGGTGAACTACTTTCTAAAGTTTATAGTTTTGTATTTGCTTAAATTTGCAGTATAAATACAGTAATCCTCTAAGATCGTTACCATTTTATCATCTTATCACTGGATAGAAACTAATAGCATATCATTTATTAACAGGATGTGATCAGGCCATAGCTTCCACATACTATTCCAGAGTCTAGCTTCTGGTATTTGTGTATATTGTAGTTCAGCTGTAAGCCACTTCTGGAGAGAGGGAGAGACATCCTCAAAACACAGGGTAACCTTGACAAATCCTGTTAAACTGTTCTGGGTGGCCATAATATTTTTGTTTATATGTAGGTCATGAGTATCAAAGTCCTTCTTCAGAACCAGGTGGGTACACTGTGATCTTAACAGAACAGCAGCCTTTATTTCCATTACAATACAGCCTAGGACATGGCTGATTGAACTGGAGGCTCAGACTGTGTACCCTGACTAAACAACCCTCGGGGTAGACTGGAAAAAAGCTGGATGCTTAAAAGTTAGACTTAACCTTTCCATTTTTGAATTATTACTAATTTTATTGTGATTTTCAAAAAAGCAAAACCATATGAAAAATACAATTTTCTTGAAATGAATCACTTACGATAGGTGCATATGAAATATGTGTCTATTAATAAATATGCATATATGAAAACACAGCTCTCAATAAAACAATTGTGCATGAGCTCATGAAGTATAGGTGAACTACCCCTATATTTAGCCATTAGCAGATGGCATCCAAATACCATGCATTCAGATGCTGCAAGTATTGTTTGGTATTCAATCTATTGCATTATAGGAGGTCAGCGTTTATCTTTCCAGTGTTGTAATATCAGTCTGTTATGCTGTCAAAAGGGAGTGAAAAATTCATTTATGTCGAGCTTGCTTTAATTTCCAAGCAACAGCTAAATTATTTCAGAGAACATGTGCTTCAGTAAATATTAAAGAGCATTCCAATAATAAATTTGTTTTATGATATCCTCCCAAAAGAGGCAACTATTAGGCGTTACCAAAACATATGGTATTATACATCCTGCTGACTAAGACAAATACTTTTAAAAAAGACATCCAGCAAACCAAACAATTTTTCTAAAAAAAGACATGTCCTAAGATACATTGATGCTTCTGGTATAGTTGTAGAAACAATTATTCTTGATTAGACAAAGTAGTACTGCCCAGACCCTTTATATATTGTATTTATTCACTGAACCCCAGTACATGTTTCCAATAGTCAGGGAGACTCGGAAGCTGTAAAAGTGGCAGGACCAAACTTAGACTATCAAATGTTGCAATTGTAAGTATTGCCATTCAGTCATAGCAGGCAAATTATATTTGGCATGCAAAGCCAAGAATCACAGCAACTCATCAGCACCGATTGAACTAATATAAAAACCTGTTTGTCCGTAAAAATCAGCCACATGACATCTGCTAACCAGTTTTTAGATTTGAGCTTTCCTCATAGGAAAGCTGGATCCAACTGTAATTGATGTGATACCATATGCCATACTTCTCTGACCGCCATAACTGGTTTCTTCTCCGGGAACCCTCCGTGAAGGATATTAGGGGGGTAGGTACTCGGAGGAGGGCTTTCTCTGTGGTGGTGCCCAATCTATGGAATGTGCTCCCCAGAGAGGTCCGCCTGGCGCCATCATTGTTTGTTTTTCGGTGCCAGGTGAAGACCTTTTTATTTAAAAGTTATTTTAATTGCTAATATTATTTATTTTACATCTTTGGTCAGGATGTCTCCAGTTACATTGATTTTATATTGTTATTATTTATTTATTGTTGTGAGCCTCCCCGAGGCTTCGGTGAATGGGGCAGCATAGAAGCTTTCTAAATAAGTAAAATAAATAAATAAACTGTAGTAGTCATCCTATTGATTTTGATGTGCCCAGAACCTAATGCCATCCACATAGAGAGAGCATACTGACAGAAATATTCCAAAACTGACCAACATAGATTATAATCTAAGTGGAAAAGATCAATATTTAGGACTAGAAAAAAACCCCTGTGATATAAAGCAAGAACTGGAAGGCCAAATGTGCCTTCTGTGTTGAAACTTGCATTCTTCTCATAAACTTCATGCCAGGAAGGAAGCCTACAAAGTTTATGGAACAGAGCATTGTTTTTGAAAATACCTGCCCAGTATAAATGGAGAAATTCCATGTAAAATATACACAATCCTAGGTATATATTCATCTAAGTTATGCACATCTCTGTGTACCTCACAAACACACTTTTTTTTTGAAAATTTTATTAAGTTTTTAAAAACTACAAACAACAATCATCGCACACACCAGATTTACTGGATCAGCCCCCTACTACATATCTTTTAACGTTTTATGATCCTACTAGAATCCATTTATAATAACTTGAAAGCATCATTAGATCAAAACCAAGTCCCGTTTCTCCAGCCAATAAAATAATAATCTGGATTGGACAGAAGTCACTATCTTCCTCTTCTTCATCCATGAAACCAAATTTATCATGTCCTACAAAGTCCTGTTTCTCTTAGACAGTGTCAAAGGAAAAACATCTCCAAGGTAAATGAAATTGCAATATTTTCTTTCTCCTTCAGTGGTAAGTTTGATCTAAACATTTCTGGACAATTCAAAATCTTTTCAATTTGCTAATAGCAAATAACTTCCTCAACCACAATTACATGTAAACATAAAAAATATCCATTTAACATCTCTGCAATTTTCTTACCTACTCTATTTGATAATAAGTAATACTTATATCTTTTAGAACATTTTTCTTTAAGCTAAATTACTAGTGTTTCATCTCATTTAAACACCATTTAATCAAATATGGTTAGTTCCATATAAAAGCCCAGCTGTTTACAGTCTTTAACATATATCATCAGCATCAACAGCTTATTAAAAATACAAAGATATCCATTTAACAATAATACCTTTTAAACAAGATTTCACTAAGCTAAATTGCTACTATTTCACCAGCAATGATAGCTTAACCTTTCTACGTCACATGTGAGCATATCAAGCTATATGAATCACCCTTTTATTTTTTTAATTTGTTTTTGAATAGAAAGAAAGAAATTTCCCTTATCTTCCCTTTACACCCCTGCCATGTTTTTTTTTCTTTTTCTTTACCCCTCTACCAGACCTTTCTGTTTTTTTTCCATCAATCCGCCATAGTGTCTGTAATGGAGTCTTCAGTTGCAGCCATATAAACATAGCCTCTTTCAGATGATCACTGAATTGTCCTTCTCTAAGATGACACGCAGATCCCATGGAAATTTGCTTCGTAATGTCTGGAATAAATCATATGTCTTGAATTGTGGCCAAGCTATCTTCTCCCTCTCCAGCATACCACATAAATCAGTTGCACCTATATTCTTTCCAGTTTCCGATTTTCCTTCTGTCTGTAATGGAGTCTCCAATTGCAGCCACATAAACATAACCACTTTCAAATGATCAGCTAAATTTCCCTTCTCTAAGATGACACGCAGATCCCATGGAAGCTTGCTTCCTAATGTCTGCAATAAATCATGTGTCTTAAATTGTGGCCAAGCTGTCTTCTCTTTCTCCAGCCTGGAGAGCTCGGCTGGACTTATTTTCTTTCCATTTTCAGATTTTCCTTCTGCTTGTTGGATATTTTGCATATTCTGTTCAGATGCAAGTTGCTTGTCGAAAGTGAAACTAGAAGCAATATCTAATTTATCAAAGCCACTTTTTTGTTCAGTTAAAAAACAATCAAGTTGCTCTAAAACAGTTTTCTGACGCATTATTATCGCCTGCTGGGATAATTGCACAGCTATTAGAGAAGATCATATTTCCAGGAATGATTTCTGTATTCCCTCCATGGTAGCGGTAAATTATCAAGGCTTGGCAGGTGTCCAAGGGTCCCAGGAACAAAGAGAAAGATGGCCACTACTTCTTGGCAGCAGCCCAACACAGACCAATCAGAGAAAGATCCTCTATTACTCAATTCCACAGCCCAATTATTCGCCCTTGGAGAGATTAAAGAAGATAAATCTTTTCCTTACTTACAAACAGTTCTGTCTTTCTCTCCGTTATGCAATTCGCCACTTTTCAGCTCCGTGGGCGGGGAGGTTTCATTCCCCCACCATCCAAAGGGCTTTTTAATTAGCAAAAAAACCAGCTTATTCACGGGTATCATTGCAGAAAAAACAAAACAAAAACAAAAATACATTCCAATAGATCTGGTGTGTTCACAAAAGCTAAAACAAAAGCTAAAAAAAATCGTATGTAGAGAACTTAAAGAGGGCAGCACTCCCTCTGGTCTTGCCCAACTGAAAAAAGCTTGATTTCCTCCCACTAAATGTGGAATTGCCATTCCACATCCTATGGGGGATTCGCCAAGCAATCTCTCTAAGCCCCTACAGAGCTTAGATTAGGCCCCCACGGCCGGGCATTTACCAGTGTGATAAGGGAGGTTCGTTAATCACATCTGTATCATTCCGACACCATACTTCTTCTCCGCAAACACACTTTTAGAAATACCTATCTATCTGTATCCCATGAGATCTTATTAATCAGGTTACTCAGTGTTAATGTCATTATTTGAGATACAGCTATTGAGAGAAAAGCACTCCATCTACTGACTTCAGCTTTCCATTGACAACAGATAGGAAGAAAAGGCTGTATA